TTCAGCACTTACCCTCGATCTTATGATCTTCTCCATGCCGATCATCTCTTCTCCAAGATAAAGATAAAGTATGGTTCCTCTTCCCACACACTTATTCCACCCTCCGTGTCTCTTTGCTGCGATCTAAAATATGTAATTTTTTGTGTGCACTAACTTGTGCAGGTGTAGCTTGATGGGGTTGGTCGCGGAGGTGGATCGGATATTAAGACCGGAAGGGAAGATCATAGTGCGCGACCGCGTCGACATAATTAGTGAACTGGAAAACATTTTCAAGTCGATGCATTATGAGGTTAGGATGACATATTCCAAGGACAAAGAAGGTTTGCTGTGTGTGCAGAAGACAATGTGGCGCCCCGAGGGTTACGAGACACTTGTTTACGCCATTGCTTAATAGCATGTTCATCATCGAACGTCGTTATTCATTTCTTTTCTGCGAGGTGTATCTTCATCTGCTAGCAATATCTAGGGCGCTTTTGATTCATTGGGTTGTTTAGGTTTGGTGTCACGATTTTGTTCTTTCTGTTTGTAACATCATTTTACTTTTATACGAGTGTCAAATACTGTTCAGGAGAAACTTTTTGCCTACAAAAAGACGCCACTGTGTTAAATAGACGTACGGTGGTGAACTTCATCACAGTCAATTACAGTATCAACTGGGTCTTGTTTTACTATCACTGTCATGATAATTGATAGTACCATGCTACATGTACTCCAAAATTTGTACCCTATTTGTACACCAAAGGTATGCACCAACATTTTGATGGTTTACACTAATACAAAGTCCTTTTCCTCTTCTTTGCAATTGTTCCGGTCCTGCTCCTGTTCTTCGGTTGCGAGAGAAGAAACGAGAGAGAGGGGTGAGTTTTACGTAAATTATGGGGAGGCGTGTAAGGGGTTTATTTATAGGTTTGGGTTTTTGGGCTCCGTAATTAACGTACCTGGTCCAAAACGTACTTTTCGGGCCCATGGGCTCCAAATCTGAATTGGTTTGCACTGTTGGATTTGTCCTGTCGAATCCTACACAACGGTATTAATCTTTTTATCAAAAAAAGCACATTTTATAATTCTATCGAGTCTGTCTCAGTAATTAATTAACTATTTTGAATTAATTAATTCTGATAGGCCGGGTTTTGGGGTGTTATATTTCTTTTCCCCTTAGAATAATTGTAATATCCTGATTTAAAAATAAGTAGATTGGGGAAAGAAAAGTTTCAAAAGGATTGATAGTACTACTAATATCAACAAGGTGCATCTTCTTTTCGAGAGATTATCACTTAGAAACTCCAAAGTCAAGAGTGCTTGACCTGGAGCAATTTGAGCAGACGCTTACGGCTACGGTGGGGGCTGGGGTGTTGCAATAATTTTGTCCTTGACATTACCTAAGGCATTGATTATTGAAGAGTTGAGTATACTGAGCTCTCATAGACTTCTCGGTCTCCCAGGTTCCTTCTTCCACCGCATGGTTTCGCCAAAGCACCTTGACCAAAGGGAATGCCTTGTTCCTTAGCTCCTTTACTTCACACGCTAGGATCTGTACGGGTTCTTCATCATAAGTGAGGCTCTCGTCGAGGGTGACTGCTCTCTCGGGTAAAACATGTGATGAATCTGACCGGTATCTTCTTAACATAGACACATGGAGTACGTCATGTATCTTCTGTAGCTCTGGAGGTAACTCCAACCTATAAGCCAACGGTCCTACCCGTTCAATGACCTAGTATGGTCCAATGACTTAGCTTGCCTTTCTTTCTAAATATGAACACCTTTCTCCATGGGGAGACTTTAAGGAATACCCCATCATCATTATTATACTCAATCTTTCTACACCTGAGGCCGGTGTAGGACTTCGGGCAATCCGGAGCAAATTGTTGTAGGTCACATATCAAGCGAACTTTCTCGATCTTCTGCCTCGCGGATAAGGTCATGTCCTTTGAGCTTGGGCTCGCTCAACTCGGTCCAACAGACCAGGGTTCTGCATCATCTTCCGTACAACACCTCGTACAGATCCATCTGAATACTAGCATGGTAGCTATTGCTATAGGCAAACTCCGTTAATGGCAGGTATCGCTCCCAATCATCGCCAAAGTCGATGATGCCAGCTCTCATCATGTCTTCCAAGATTTGAATTGTTCTCTCAAACTACCATCCGTCTAAGGGTGAAATGTTGTACTGAAATTGAGCTTGGTACCAAGAGCCTTCTAAAGACTCTTCTAGAACTGAGATGTGAATTGCGGATTGCGATCTGAGATAATGGACACTGGCAGTCCATGTAGTCTCACGATTTCACAAATGTAAAGTTCAGCTAACTTGTGCAAGGAAAAGTCTCATCGAATAGGAAGGGAGTGTGCTCACTTAGTCCATCGGTCCACCATGACCCAAACGGGGACACACTCGGCTTGATGAATCCCTTTTCCAACAATTCTTACAGCCGAGCCTTAAGCTCCTTCATCTCCGCACGTTCCATGTGGTATGGTGTCGTAGAGATCATCTCCGTCCCAGGAACCACATTAATTGAGAACTCCACCTCCCCTGGCGGTGGCAAACCAGATGGTCATCGGGAAATACGTTGGTGAAATCACACACGGTAAGGATATCTTGCTGCTCAGATTTCACGGTAAGGATGTACTCTTTCTTAATGGCAGGTATCGCTCCCAATCATCGCCAAAGTCGATGATGCAAGCTCTCATCATGTCTTCCAAGATTTGAATTGTTCTCTCAAACTACCATCCGTCTAAGGGTGAAATGTTGTACTGAAATTGAGCTTGGTACCAAGAGCCTTCTAAAGACTCTTCTAGAACTGAGATGTGATTTGCGGATCGCGATCTGAGATAATGGACACTGGCAGTCCATGTAGTCTCACGATTTCACAGATGTAAAGTTCAGCTAACTTGTGCAAGGAAAAGTCTCATCGGATAGGAAGGGAGTGTGCTCACTTAGTCCATCGGTCCACAATGACCCAAACGGGGACACACTCGCCTTGATGAATCCCTTTTCCAACAATTCTTACAGCCGAGCCTTAAGCTCCTTCATCTCCGCACGTTCCATGTGGTATGGTGTCGTAGAGATCATCTCCGTCCCAGGAACCAGATTAATTGAGAACTCCACCTCCCCTGGCGGTGGCAAACCAGATGGTCATCGGGAAATACGTTGGTGAAATCACACACGGTAAGGATATCTTGCAGCTCAGGGGTTTCCTTGTGAGTATCGCGAACGTGGCATATGAATGCTTGGCATTTCTTTCGGATGAGTCGCTTTGCTTTCATATATGACATAAACTCCAAAGGTTTAAGGAATAGCTCCCCCTTGACCTCCATGACATTATCGTCGTCGGTCTTCAACCGCATGGTGCGCAGTCCGCAGTCAATTAGTTCTTGGTGTTCGGTTAGCTAATCCATACAAAGGATCACGTCAAACTCCTTGTATGGTAAATGGATTAGGTTCGCGGATAGTTAGTGTCCTTGAGCCATCACCAGACAATTGCGGTATAGATTATCGAGTCGCATGGTATGCCCTAACGAATTAGATACTACCATACGATACTCTAGATCGCCTCTCTGGATGTCAGATTTCTCGGGCATAGGAATACAAATGTATGGTAACGTATATCCTGGATCTATTAATGCAAGCATTGGAGTATCAAATAACGAGAACATGCCCAAGATGACGTCGTGGTTCACTTCAGTACACCCCAGCATGGCGTAGGTGCATGCAGGAGTACGTCCCTACTGTCAGTTCTGGATGTGATTCTGGTTCTGGCCTGTAAATTTGAACCTGCT